ATGCATCATCCAATTCATTTCCACACTCCTGCCCGCTTTCCTTGCCTTACGTGCTTCATAAACAAATCTTCAGGTCTTACTTCATAAATAAACCACCTATATTTTGGCACATGCTAAATAATAGAGCCAGGTTTTTCTTCTTTTTGAAGAGCTTATGTGTCACTGGTACTGCTTATCGAAATAGAACAAGGAGTTCCGAATTATCTGATGCATCATCCAATTCATTTCCACACTCCTGCCTGCTTTCCTTGCCTTACATGCTTCATAAACAAATCTTCAGGTCTTACTTCATAAATAAACCCCTATATTTTGGCACATGCTAAATAATAGAGCCAGGTATTTCTTCTTTTTGAAGAGCTTCAAAAGCTACGTTCTTTTTTTTGTGAAGATAAATGTTTTGTAAAGATGTTCAATGTATATAATATAAGTTGTTTATGTATACAATTTCCAAACGAAAAAGCTCAAAACGATGCACTTAGTTATTAAATCAACTGACTTTTCATTAACTTGATTACATTCGCAATTAACGCTATATTTTAAAATGTATGTCATGGTAAAGTAAGTGCATCATTGCAAATGCGTACCTCGACAAATGCACGAAGAGAAACCATAAAACGTAGGCTAAAGCAGTGACTATCATCAAAATTGTGCAGACCATCCACATACTCTTCATTTAAAGGAATTCTCTTGAACCTCTGAATGTACTCGACCATTTTCGAAAGTATACCTTCTTGTTTTGTTGGGTATGTGTCACTTGTACTGCTTATTGAAATAAAACAAGGAGTTCCGAATCATCTGATGCATCATCCAATTCATTTCCACACTCTTGCCCGCTTTCCTTGCCTTACAACGCTTCATAAACAAATCTTCAGGTCTTACTTCATAAATAAACCACCTAGCTATACACTTATGAATGCAGTTAACTTTCGATCTACAACAAACACACAACCATTTATTGCTAATTTTATCATAGGAAACAACCACTCATTTGTAGCGAGAATAATGGATTTTCCCTTTGTAGATGGTATCTCGACAAAGTGAGGTAGTTTGAAGCGACATATTCTGCAATTAGTGGTGCTTTGTCATTCTTGGCAATTACATGTAGCAGTATACATTCCTGTTTTCTGCTTCTCTTAAACCAGTGCACATTTCTCCCAATCAGTTCTTCTAAAGACTGGTGATGTAATGCGTAGTAGGACTTGGCATTCTCGGAAATATGCTGCACACTCTTTAGGTGACTATATACAAACGAAACTTGCATTTCCACTTCTTCTTCCACTAATGAAGTCTGGTGCAATGTGAAAATTTCTGCCATGGTTTTGCAAAAACGTTTTCCAAGAAAAGGCTTTATCACACAAACTGCACTTGTACGTAGCTTTCCGTTTTCGCATCACAACAGTGAGTGTGTTTTCTACCGATTCACTTTCTGACATGGATTCACAGTCTTCTGGTGCATCAGACACTTTTGTGTGGTGGTTCCTCAGGTGGTTTTTTAAAAACCTCTGGTCTGTTGTAAAAAGCAGGACTGGTGCAGCAGTGGGTATAGTGGGATGTACTGTGGTCATCAAGGTTGCTTTCTGTGGTCGCTTGACATCTCAAATAGCATTGTAGAATTTGATGGTCTATATAGAAAGCAATTCGTCAGTTTTGTAACAAATGTTAGACAATTTAAGTGAGTTGACCAAAAATAGCATTCTTTGTTATATAAACTACATATATTACAGTATGTTTTAGTTGCTTTCTAGGGGATTGCTGTATTTTTCTGACTTGCTGATTTTGGATGCATCTTATGTTAATTGCATCTTTATAAATAAACTATTTTCTTGTTCTTTTATTTTAGTCTCAACAATTCAGAAAGATGAACAGTGTATTCTATATGCATAAAAACGCACAACCAGTTCCTGGTTGATATTGACAGGCTTGTATAAGGTTGTGCAGCATCCTAAGAAGAAGTTGTCAGCATACAATGTTGTTGCAGCATTGTTACCTACAACTGAACATTGCTGTAACAACATTGTTGACAACTTGCCTTTAGGATACAGCACAACCATGCTCAAGCCTGTCAATATCAACCGGGAACATGGAAGTTGTTATGCATGCAGAGTTATGCATGCAGAGTTTTCAGCATCATGCTTACACATTCATCATAATAGCCGAGGTCTTGAATTTCAACAAAAGATCAACCATGAGGTTGTTTTTTTAGCTTTATATACACATCATACCATTTTCTATTGTTCTGTAGAGGTTTTGGTAGACTTTTGCCTATAATTTGTCATAATTTAAACAAATAAATCGTAAATTAATATTAATAAATGGTCAATTACAGCAGACACACTGACTTAATTTGAATTTCTGAAGGCTTTGTTTAGTCCATATAACATGAAATGCTCTGTGATTTGATAATTGAAAATTTCACTAGTTTGGCAGTTAGACGAGTGATGGAGTCCGACGATTCTGACCACGAATTCTACATTACTTTAGCAAATCCACAGCGAAGACAAATATTACCACCCTTGGATGTATTCTCGAATGAAGAACTAGAAATTTGGCCCTGGCTGGACGAGATAGGAGGAAGTACAGCAACCAGCTGTAACATGTTTAAATCACTTAGCAGCACCTGTATCAAGGATGTGGTTTAGAAGTGATTAAAAATTCCCAAGCCGTGATGTCAGATGATGAACTAAATGGAACATTAGAATGTTAGTTTACCTATTTGGCATTCTTTTTGCATTAAGAGGTGGTACTGAACATACAAGACATTGAGGGGAAATTTTGCAACTTACAAAAGGCATTGACGAACAAGCTGGCATGCAATACTTAGAGAGTACTGTGAAGATGTTTCGAAAACAAATGCTGGGGGACTCAAAGACCAAAAGGAGTTTTGAAGGAGCTGAAGCTAGATAAAGAAATAAGTCCAGCACAGGTAAAGAGAAATAAAAGAAGGCTGAAAAAACAGGAAAAATTAGCTGGAACATTAGCATTGGCAAGCATATGAGAATGAAGAATGCATTGTTCTATACAGTTGAACCCCTATTAAGCGGACACCTTTGGGACCTCGCCTAAGTGTCTACTTAAAAGGGTATGTAGAAAAACACAGCAGGAGGCAAAGGTGTGTAATTAGGTCTGTGATTTGAGTATAAAAAACAGTAAAAAATATCTAGCAAATAATTAGCATAAAATGAAAATTTCTTTGTGCATAAAAGTTCATTAGAAAATGTATACACCTTTCACAGTCATATAAAGAAGGAATCAATACAAGCTTGCTTTCAAAGCTCACACAGCCGATAGCTCGAGGGTATAATGTCATTTACATAAAAATGGCATTGGAAAGTTCTTCCAAACCTTCGGAGGAAGATTCAACGATTGGTTCATTAAGAGACCAGTCAAATTCATCATCTTCGTTCAGTTCGTTGTCATCATCAGTGATCCGACACATCTTTCAGCTCCTTTGCTGGCAGTTCACAGTCCTCCGTCCTCATTCATCACTTCCTCAATAATCTTGGCTCTGATGTCTTCTGCAGATTTTATAGTGAGAGAAAATGCAAATATATCTGTTTTGATGCTACTATGTTTGCTGAAGAACAATTCTTTTGCCTTGTTGGGATATTTTAATTTAACATTAATTTTTACAATTATGCAACTACAGCATGGGCTGCTTATACTCTATTTCCCAGAAACAATTATTTTAGGCACAATATAAGAGTTAATGTCCCAGCTATTTTTTAGCAATTCTCTGTCACTTTTCAATATATTATCGGATGTTGAAACTGCAGGAACAGGACCTTTAGAAAATGAATAATCATTGTTCCCACTGCCACGACTACCATGAGTATATTTCTTAAGATAATATTTTAATGTTGTCAATTGTTTTGTTGACAAAGACCAATAAAATTGTGAAATCACTAAAAATGGCCTATGTTAAATGGAAGTGCCATACACTATAGGTAAGCTAGCTTATGTATTTGACTATGAGCTCCAAACCAGATCCAAATGCAAGTAATACCAGTCTCAATTCAAATAAAGTTAGTGATGACAAGAAAAAAAATTATATAATGAAAGTGGAATCGGTTAAACCAAGATATGAAAAGTGCAATCTTTAAAGTGTAAACAGCCAAACAAAATACAGAAAGACTAGATAAGGATGAACTAAATGAACATAAAGCTGAATTTTCAGAACTTATTAAAGCATTTGATCAATTGATAAGTGAGATCGAAAATTCAATCAGTGAACCTGACAAATTTACAAATCATTGACAGTGGCAAAAACTGGACTTATACCTGTGCTGTGATGTATAGTAAATTAAAGTCAAATCAAGAAATTATAGTGCCCCTCATTAGTGAGCAACATCAACAAGGAAAGCAAGAAAAGGAAAGGAACCAGTTGAAGAGATAGATAGTGACCTTAATTGTTAATAAGAAACGAAAGTGAGTAAAGTTGTTTTTGCTTCCTGTGTTTGCTTACAAGTTTAAGCGCCATGCCACTCAACCTCTTTAAATTTTTAGTGTTACAGATGCAGCAACTATTTGAGGGTGGCATGCTTCATATAACATTTAATATCTTGAAAAACACTGTAACTAATATCTTAAAAAACACATTTGCGAATGCAAATTCACATTTTGCAAATGCAAAATCATCCATTTTGTAAATGGCAGTTTGCAAAAACCATGTGTCAAAGGTTGATTTTCACAATCACTTCGAATGTATTTTACTATAATGAATTATTTTACTGACTATTATTGTAATTTTGTGTGGAATTAAAAGGATGTGTGAAATGAAGAATATGGCAACAATTTCTTCAGAAAATTTGCTACGAAATGACCACCTTTTTGTTTTTTGCAAGCAGTGTTTCCACTTTTCAAAACTGAAATTTCCTTCAAATTTTTGAGAAGGAACTTTGCAAATTGCACCACATCTTGGACATTCGATCAAATCGCATTCTTCATATGTAGATGTTTCAAGGCTATTAGAGCAACTGACACATGTGTAGCTACAACTAAACTCTTTGATGCCAAGAACTGTTGTTTAATTGTAAGGACATCGCATTTGACGCTGGGCGGGCACGGTTTGCAGTTGCTACATTCATCTCTTCATCTATCTTCTTAATCACTGTTTCATACACTGCTGTTATCATCATATTGCCATTAAACATTGATAAAGTGGCACTTTGAAAAAAAACAACACATCCTGTTTATATTGCAAGTCTTTCACTCATTCTATCCAGAGAACAAGTTCAATTGTCGCCCATTCACACTCGTAAGCAAGGCAGAATCATTATGGAGACAATGTCCAAATTTGGCAACAAGACTGGATAGGGTGACATAATATAGGTAGGTCGATTTTGACGCATCTAAAGCCTCCATAGCACCCAGTACCTCTGGATATTCTCACCAGAGAAACATTGTTCCAACTCTTGGAGGAGCATGGGAACAGAAGCTTCCCTTGAGACATTCACAGAACTGGTGAGGGCATGCAGATTCTGTGGAATCTTGTCTGGAAACATACACAGGTTCCTTGTAGTCCAAGGTAATGTTCACAGTTGCACATAGCTGTTTGGCCTATTCAATGATATTGTTGGTTTCAATCTCAACAAGAAGCTCCTTTACAGCCAGCATTTCATTAGCTATGTTTAGCCATTTGACATTGGTCTCTTGCATAGCCTTACTTAATCCATGCATTATTGACAAAAGCTGATGAAAAAAGCATAGGGAGATTACAAAATTTCCCGACAGAATCTTGTGTTACAGTCCCGCTGCTGAATCGGCTTGGTTCGAATTTGAAGCGCTGATCTTTTGAAGGCTTATGAGAATTGCTTTGTCTTTTAACCATTGTATTAACACCCCAAACTTACAAGCCCATTAAACTTCTGTAAGGGAGGAAACTGCCGTTATGGGCTGATTTGGATAAAGATCCTTTTCAACAGCTTCAAATATTTCTCTGTTGCCAGCGACGTTGAAAATGATGTGCAAAGTCTTGTAGATATTTATTCCACTACATGCTTCATTGACTGTACAAAAATAAGCCACTACAATCAAATTCAGATGGCATGCAGCACAGTGAACATGGATAACCAAGGATAATAGGGCCATTTATACCAGACAAAATAAGTCGCGACTTACATAAGAGGCGATTTACATAAAGTCGCGACTTAAATAAGACGCAAGTTTGTTGTATAAAAGGTACAAAATTCTTATGTAAGACGTGTCTTGGATAAGACGAGACTTAAATAAGAACAGGATTTTTAGCTGTTCTTATTTAAGTCGTGTCTTAAATAAACAATTTTGGATAAAAAGTCTAACTACACATGCCCAAAACTTGAAACAACGTAAAATTATTAGCCTTGCATATTAAAATAAAAACAACCAAAACAACATAGCTTAATAATTCCGCTTATATAAGACGCGTCTTATGTAAGTAGCGACCTATTTTATTCCGTATAAATGGCCCTATTATCTCTTCAGTTTAGCAACAACACCTTCGTAACATCCACTCATAACAGATGTGCCATTTGTTCCCAGGTATAAGGAGAGTGGTGGACAAGCTCAGTTTTTTACTTCTTGGCAAAACTTTGTCATTCAAAATGGTTTCAGTCTCAGCGTCAGTCTCTTTAAGTCTAACAAGATCATAATATCATCCTTTGTCATTTACAAACCTAAAAAATAGCTCTTTATGCCCCGCATTATCTTTGCACTCATCGATGACCATTGAATACATTCCTGTTTTGTCTATCTGTTCCTCAATCAGATGTCGAACCTCAGAAGCCATCAACTTGACTACTTGAGCAAAGATCCCTTTGATGTGTAGTCGTATACTTTGTGTGTCTGAGTTAACCTACTGTGCAGTTTATTGAATGTTGGGTTAGTTTAGTGTGTAGTATTGCCTTGAATTTTTTCCACTTTCCTGCATTGAGGGACTCATCAGTTTCATTGTGTCCTCTATATGCCATTTTTTCAGAACAAAAGTACCGATCATATTTCGACAGCGTCTTCTTGTATGCTCGATTGTTTTCCACTACAGACAATCTCTCAGGGTCTAACATATTTTTAATACTAGCCCCTGGATTCTTTTTCTGGATGTTGTAACTGTCCTAATGAGCCATGGAAAGGAGATGATCGGAGCATTTGTCATGGGTTTTAAATCTGTGATTATTTTCCATCGCCTTTGACCACATAGAAAAACCAACTTCAGCAAATGCCGAGTCGCTCGTGCACGTCAATGTGCTAGAATTCCTGCATGCAAAACAAAATGCTTGTGTTGCCCAAGAAAATTGATGGCTGACTGCACAATTTTATTTCTTATAGCATTTGTCTTTTGCAATGCTGTATTCAAGCCACAGGTAGGTTGTATACCAGACGGCTCAAAAACAACGATTCTTCTGGTTTCTTGGATAGGACCCAAGATTTGGTTGTGAGGGCCCATTTACCAAAGTTCCAATATCACTCACTGCGGAGTCTAGATGAGCTGCATAAACTCCCACTTGTGGCGGCTGAACAATACATACTGAAGGAGTTAACAGAGTAACTGCACCAGATGTTGATGTGACTGGAGAGCTCAACGCTGTATTGTTGTTGTCTTCAGTAGTCCTGACGTGAGCACCATCTTCTTCAATTTACTGTTGTGGTTGCCACAGCTCCAGTTGTTGATGATGCATCTGATTCGTTGGTCACTTTATGGTTTGCTCTTTTAGCGAAATATGAAGTTATTGTGCGATTTGCAGACCTCTTAATGTTGTTGAAGTGTGCCTCTAATCACTGTTTTACCTGTCTCAACAGTACACATTTTCAGAATAAAAATTTGACTTATGATAAGTTTAAAAAATATATTGGAAAATGGATTTCTTATTTTATTTTTCAAAAGATTCTCACGGTCAGTAGACTTTAATCTTATGAATAATGCATGCTTTGGGTTAGCTATTTATACTAACAGGTACTGTAGGTATAATATGTTAATACAATATGACTAAGCAAATTAATTTACATCCCATGACTAAGCTTAAAGTTACATTATATGATGAGATTACTTATAAGGTGAGATTTTTATATATATTTATATTAAGTAATGATATATCTCTCAATTCCAGCAACTTTTTAAAGAAAATGTTAAAAAGCAACCAAGATATAGGGGGAAATGCTATGACCACTGAATAGCTTTGCACGAAACTTGTGATTATGATTCACTTGAATTATCAGTCTGACATCTTGTGGTTCAATACAATTAGTAAGGAAATGTCTAAGCCAAAACACAAATGCAGTAGAAAAGTCAGTGAAGCCAACATCACACATAGCTTGAACTTCGAGAGATTCTGTAAATAATATAAGCTTTCTAATGTTGTCGCAATGATATATGCCTCCGAACAATAACTTATACTTTAGTGAATTCCACCCCTTGATATCTGATGCCAGCAAAGTTCACACTTAGTGGTTTGGCCACAAGTGGGTTAACATTGGGAGGTGGACAAAATGACAGAAAGTGACAAATCTTATGTAGTTGTTTGAAGACAAAGCAAAATTACCCAATCTCCTTGACAAAAAAAGAGTATTTTATCTGATTCATCCCAAATTTTGATCACAATGTTAACAATAAAGGAACAAAAATGTGTTCGTGTTTTCGATTTAGTGCATTATTTTTCAATTTAGAAACGTTTATTCAACCGCTTATACCCACGCAAGATAAGTCAAGTTGTCTGCTTGATATCAAAGTGAATACAATAGCTGTCAAAAAATTCGAACACACTTTTCTTCTTTGTACATATGAAATAAGATATTTTGGGAGCTCCTGAGTTAAATGGTCTGTTGTTAAATCTCCTGGCGTATGAGGTGCTATTTTTCAAAAGATGTCTCATTGCGACTACAGGTTAAAAGGTGGTGAATTTTGGCTAAAACAGTAGCTTCTACAGTTTGTTATCATTGTATGTACCAAATTTGAGGAACATAACTAAAAAATTGAGCATGCAGTGACAATTTTTCTGAAACAGTAATCTATCAATTGATGTAATCTTAATCGAGTCCAGGTATGTCAGTATATAGGCTCTAAATTTATGATATATATGCATATATATAATATAGAGTATCTTCTGCGTGTTCATAAAACAATAGCAATTAATTGTATCAAATTTACTATGGACTATACAGTGTCTATTCTATAGATAGGAATTTTCAGGTGTTCTTTCACTTCTCTGGTTTATATTTTTATTATGTACTTCAAGCTCAGGTTACCGTTTTTTTTATGCTGACCACATGATTTATACCAAAATTCACCATTAACTTAATGGTTTGAAAACCTAGAATTTCTTACAAAATGTGCTCTCAGAATACTGTAAATTGGCTTTCAGAGATCCAAATTTTAAACATTTTCTGGGGGAGGGGGCATGGGGTCATTATAACTCGCTTGCATAACAATCCTTGCTGCTCTATTCTGCAGCTTTTGTATTTTGGAACTTAGTATTTGACCTAGACATCCCAGACCAAAAAATACATATCTTTGAAAACACTCCACTTGAACCTTTGGTATTGCTGTTGGAATTCTTGAACGTGTCAAGGGAGCATAACTAGCGTCCTTCGTTTTGTTTTGGAAACTTTCCCTTTTAGTTTCCGACAGGGCAATGAATCTGCGCTAACACTCTATATGAAATCCCTAAGTTTTGGTTACCATCAGGAAGCTGGATATCCTTGTACTTTAAGTTTCCCTCTTTCCTTGCTGCTAGGATAGTCTTGCACTTTTCCAGAGTGCTGGATGTAAAATAATTAACTTTTCCTATTTCGGAACCTTCTCCTACATGCAGAAAACTGTTTGATCACCCGAGGTCGATGCCAAATCATCATTCGCGAGAGTTAGCCAATCGTCCCATTACGGACTCTCACATGGCATCATCCTATTCTGAATTACTGTATATATGTTTAATAAAATTACTTGACAACACTTTAGTTCCTACCTTGTTCAGGTGTAATTTACTCCTATTTAATTCATTACATGATATGTTGGAATGATCAATGAATGTCAGTTTACCTCGGGTGCATAAACTCTTCAACTGTGAGGTTTTGCATCCTGAGAAAGTTGACACACTAACTCTTGTACCAGTTTTTGACATTTTAAAGCCTTTAAGAGCAGATGTCAGTAAGGAGTGGGTGAAGTGCAGCACAAGTTCGAGAAATCACCCATCCTCATT